ACTGATATTCTCAAATACCACTTTAATAATGCTCACTTTTGGGAGATGAATCACACTCAGATTCGCAGATACACTGCTAATAATACAGTATATTTTGCATGTATTAAGCAACTTTCATCCAAGAACCTGAAAGCACTTTACTGAATGTAAATGGATTCTTTGGATTCTTATCCAGAGAAGCTACCCACGCTCCAACCTATCCCTAGGGCTCAGCTTCTTTTTCAAACTGCTCACCCACAACAGGGAGGGATAGAATAGAAGACCAACAGGCCCTCAGTCTGAGAAGGGCTTTGTCTTCCTACAGGCACAAGGTCCACCAGCAAAATTGCAAGTCTGGTGTAATTCTCTTAGGCTATGTCTAGATTGCAGGCTTCTTTCGAAAGAGGCTCTTTCGAAAGCATCTTTCGAAAGAGCCTCTTTCGAAAGATCGCGTCTAGACTGCAGGCGGATCTTTCGAAAGAGCAATCCGCTTTTTCGAAAGAGAGCACCCAGTGAGTCTGGATGCTCTCTTTCGAGGAAGCCCTATTTACATTGAAGAACGCCTTCTTTCGAAAGAGGAACTTTCGAAAGAAGGCGTTCTTCCTCGTGAAACGAGGTTTACCGCCATCGAAAGAAAAGCCGCGTTCTTTCGAAATTATTTCGAAAGAACGCGGCTTGAGTCTGGACGCAGGGGAAGTTTTTTCGGGAAAAGGCTACTTTTCCCGAAAAAACCCCTGAGTCTGGACACAGCCTTAGGGTATGTCTTCACATCAAAGTTAATTCGAAATAACAGCCATTATTTCAAATTAACTTTAATAGTGTCTACACAGGCAAAATTAAATTTTGAAATAGCGGGGCGCTTAATTTGAATTTGGTAAACTTCATTCTACAAAGAGTAACACCAAACTCGAATTAGCTAATTCGAAATAAGTGCTGAGTAGACACTTATTTCGAAATAGGGGGCCTCCAGCCTTCCCAGGGTGCCCTGGTGGTCACGCCAGCCTCAACCAAGAACACGCCTCTCCCTCCCCGGAGCCCTTAAAGCAGCTCCAAGCCTGCCAGCCCAGAGCCAGCAGTCACTGCTCCTGACCCAGTGGCCCCAAAACATGAGCCAGCAAGCCACTGGAAGTCAGCCCTCCACTGCTCCCCAGGAGCAGTCTGCCAGCTCCCAGGAGCCTGCCAGGGCCCAGAGAAGGCTGGCACCTTCCTGTTCTAGGGCAGAGATCAGGGTGGACCTTACTCAGGTTTGGGGGGGATGCCCCCAATGTCCATGATCTCCATACTAGATGGAGGAATGCAGCCGTCTATGGCAGGATAGCTGCCAGCCTGGGCACTAAAGGACACATGCGATCCCAGGAGCAGGTGCGCATGAAAATCAAGGTGATCCGGCAAGACCCCCCCACGCTGAGCTTCCCCCCCTTCTTCCCCTTACTTCCCCCTTCCAGCTTCTTCCTCCCAGGTTTCCCCTTCCCCTCCTCTCTCCTCCCTTCTCCCACCTCCTTTCCCCAGTCTCACCAGAGTTTCATCCACCCCCCCGCCAGTTTTGTTAAATAAAAAGAGTTTGTGTTCATGAAAATACTTGTATTTTATTTGACATCAGGAACAGGGGTTGAGGGGAGGGGTAAGTGGAAGGACGTGAGGGAAGAATGAGGCACAAGCCCCCAGTGGGGCAGACCAGGGAGGTTCTGAGTGCTTCTCAGGGTGGAAGCTCTCCCGCAGGGCCTCCTGGATACTGACAGCCCCCCGATGGACCTCCCGGATGGCAGCCTGCAGAAAGTGCAGCCAGGCTCGTAGCAACGCATCCAAGAGAAGCCCCAGAGTGCCCAGGGGCAGCTCTGGCTCCATGTTGCCGTGTGCTGTGGTGTCCCAAGTGAGGGCAATCAGAGCACACAGAGACAAAATGCCTTGCTGTCCCTCAGTGAAGCAGGCAAGCAAGCAGAGACACCGGGGTGTGGGTGTGTGTGTGTGTGTGTGTGTGTGTGTCCCTTTAAGCACAAGCCTCAGATAGCCTCAGGCAACAGTCACACAAAGACACTCCTGATGCCCTACCCCTAACTTAGTTCCAGCCAGCCTGAAATCTGAATCAGTGTCCACTCAGTGTGGACTCGGTATTTCGAATTAGCAAAACGCTAATTCGAATGCATTTTGTGTGTGGACGCGTTAATTCGAATTAGCTTAATTCGGATGAACTATTTCAAATTAAGATAACTCGAATTAACGCTGTCATGTAGACATACCCCTAGTTGCAGAGTGCTGTGGTGTCCCGAGTGAGGGCAATCAGAGCACGCAGAGACACAAATGCTTTGCTGTCCCTCGTCAAGGTAGACAAGCAAGCAGGGAAACCTGAGAATTGTCTGTCCGGGGGGGTTCCTTTAAGCACAGACCTCCGATAGCCTCAGGCAGCAGCCCCACACAGAAAGTCCTGACCTGGTGCCCTGCTGGAACTGGTTCTGGCCAGCCTTAAATGCGATTCAGAGTCCACTCAGTGTGGACGTGCTATTTCGAAATAGCAAAACACTATTTTGAAATGTATTTTGTGTATAGATGTGTTATTTTGAAATAAGATATTTCAAAATAACACTGTGGTGTAGACATATCCTCAGCCTTTATCCCACGCTTGACAGTGGACACAAGCTCCAATGAATATTTAGTTTCTAGAATACTCCTAATATTAAACTTCCAAATGGTAACCTTTTTAACCTAACTGGACCTCCTTGATGGAATCAGAAGGCTAAAATTAAAATTAAATTAAATTAAATTAAATACCCCAGGCTCTGTCAATTTGGCCAACAAGAAAAATTCCTTCCTGACTCCAAAAAACAGGAGATCAGCCAGACCCATAGGATCTTGGTAACTCTGCTCACTGGTACTACTAACTAGAACAAGGAGGAAGTACGAGGCAGCTAAAGATGCAAGGGGCCCCCAAATGCATGAATAGGGTTTACATTGCTTTAATGGAAGGGAAGATCATAAAAGTCAAACAGCTACCAGGCTCCACTTTTGCTGGCCAACAGGATGAACCCAAGGTAGAAGGAGCTCAGCTCTGATATTTCGAGACATTTGCTCATGAGTAGGCCTCAACAGGAGTACTGTATCCAGTTCTGGGTACAGAACAACAAAATGTATTAAAGGTCTGGAAAACATGACTTATTTGCGAAAATTGAAAAAAATAGGTTTGTTTAGTTTGAAGAAGACTGAGGCGGGCAGGATAACAGTTTTAAAGTGCACAAAAAGTTGTTACTTGGAGGAGGAAGATAAATTGTTCTCATTAATTTAACTTCTAAGGATAGGACAAGAAGCAATGGGCTTAAATTGCAGCAAGAGCCTTTTAGGTTGGACATTAGGAAAAACTTCCTCACTGTCAGGGTGGTTGAACACTGGAATAAATTGCCAAGGGAGGTTATGGAATCTTTGTCACTAGAGATTTTTAAGAGCAGGTTAGACAAAGACCTGTCAGAGAGGGTCTAGGTAATAGTTAGTCCTGCCTGGAGTGCAGGGGACTGGACTTGATCTCTCAAGTTCTGTTCCAGTTCTACAGTTCTGTGATTCATCCCCTCCTTTCCTTTAGGGGCCCTATCATATATGCTGATTTAGCCAACATCTCTCCTCCTCCCATTGAAATGGGTGGGAGGATTATTCACAAATCCTTTTAATCAGGGGAGTATCACTGGGCCCCAGGACGATTTTGAGAGGTGGGATGGCTTCTGCTCCCAGAAGGGATGGGACCTCAGGCAGAAGGAACAGGGCTAGCACGGCCAGCCCCCAGTGCTGCTCGGACAGCCCAATACCTGCCCCAGCCAACCCTCGGAGCACTCCAGGCCTCCGGCCACCACTGCTGACTCTTTTCAAACTGAAATGGGGAAGTGTGATTATTGTGGGAATGCAGGAAAGTCAGTCTCTCTTTAACACATCTCAGAAGGAGACAGACACTGTCAGTCTATGGATGGACAAGGGCTCCACTTCCAGAGTTCTGTGAATATAAGAGGGGAGAGTAGGACTCTCAATAAGCAGGCTACATCCCTTTTATGTGTTCGCTGTAAGATGGGTTCAACCTGTTTTTTCTACCATCAAAATGGTAGAGCTAAAATAAACTCTATAAGGAGTCTCTTAGGGTATGTCTACACTACCCTCCTAGTTCGAACTAGGAGGGTAGTGTAGACATACCCTTAGATACTTTGAGAATATTCTCCTATATCTACTATAAGGGTACGTTATCTGAAACTGCACATGCCACAGCTTGTACAGGGAATTTTTATCTTGACTTTTTAGTGACAAATCATTTGAGATCTGCTCTCATGGCTTCAGAGGTCACCCAAAGCCCTAGACAGAATTATATGCTTGTATTAAATGGTTGGTTTAGCATAATGCTACTTGCTTTGCATCTACTAGCACATACACATTAGTCTCTGCAGAGTTACTGTGATATTGGCTATGAATAGAATAATGTTGTAGAATCCCAGCAACTGTACCTTATCCTCATAGTAGCTATTGTATCATGCACCATAACTATAAAGCCAATATTTCCTGAGTAATTGTGATTATTAAGAGATACAGCTTCAAAATCAAACCCCAGATTCAAATAGTACCAAACTTTAGGAAAAAAGTCAGCTTTTGATCAACCTTGACACCTTAGAATAGTGATAGAAATGTAGCCGTGTTAGTCTGGGGTAGCTGAAGCAAAATGCAGGACAATGTAGCACTTTAAAGACTAACAAGATGGTTTATTAGATGATGAGCTTTCATGGGCCAGACCCACTTCCTCAGATCAAATGAGAAATTGATCTGAGGAAGTAGGTCTGGCCCACGAAAGCTCATCATCTAATAAACCATCTTGTTAGTCTTTAAAGTGCTACATTGTCCTGCATTTTGCTTGACACCTTATGCCCACGTATTAACTGATTTTATGTTATGCAGCCTTCCACTCAATAGAAGTGTATTTTTTTAAATAACTTTATATTTGCAGTAGAGCTTACAGTGCATGGCTGAATGGTTTTTGCAGGTTTTGTATTCTTTGTTATTAGGTATGTTATTTGAACTTCATTTCAGAGGCACGAGGGTCGCAGCATCAGCACATTAGAATAAAGAAAAATCAACAGAGCTCAGCAACCAAATTTCGACTCTATACAGACACAAGTGAAGAAGGCTGTTTGATATTGTCTGATCAGCTGGAGACTCTTGACAAGTGTAGTTTCAATGACTCTCTTCCTTTGGTAATGATAGTCCATGGATGGTCGGTATGAACTTCACATTATTTTCTTTTTAATTCAAGATGCATCTGATGTGACCTACTTCCTTTCTTATTATGTTAGTGCCAAAGTATGTGCCAGGAAAAGGTTAGGAAAAGAATGACTGACGATTCCCTTAATAAGAAACATGTCTTGAAATAGCCCAAAGTCTGGTACTCCTGTTGAATTCTGAGACAGAATATCAACCAATCATATGGGAGACCTGTATTAGAGCTGATATTCATATTCCCTGGCTTAAAGCCAGCAGAGTCTGAACAAGTAGTTGAATTAATGTGCTATGTCTCTAAAGGCTTAAGTGCTGATTTCATTTCTGTTCTAGTCGCTAACAGGTATTTACAGATTGTTATTGAAAAGAAGTGCATGAAATCTCCCATCTCTTTCACACACACCTTGAAGAGAAATTCTCTATAAACACTTTCAGCTGAAAACGAAGCCTTCAACAGCAATAAATAACCACTGAACTGGTTCCAAGCGAAAAAAAATTAAAAAGCCAGCTCAAACAGCCGTGCTACTCTGCTGTGAATTTTGATCAGCTCTTCAATTTTAAAAATGTCCATTTAACAGACACTCAAAGTAGATTCGTATAGCAGCCACACTTACCAGCTGAGAGGGACAAAACTGTCTGAACAAATCTTTTATTGCAGAAACTTTATAAGGCAAAGTCCCCCAGCACATGGATGTACTGCCTTTTGATGCAAAGAGGCACTACAGATGAATAAGAATGGAGCATATACTACAATTATATCAGTAAATGACTCCAAATAAAAACATAAGGGAATGAAAGATTAAACATAAATAAGTCTCTTCCAAATTGTTGCTGGTTTCTGTACCCATTGTGCTTTTTGAAACAATGTGGAAAATGACAACACACATAGAAACTGTAAGGCTGTCTCTAGACTGCATCCCTTTTCCGTAAAAGGGATGCAAATTAGATACATCACAATTGCAAATGAAGCAGGAATTTAAATCCCCCCCGCTTCATTTGCATAAAAATGGCTGCCGCTTTTTTCCGGCTCGGAGCTTTGCCGGAAAAAAGCACCAGTTAAAAAAAGGGCTGCCGCTTTTTTCCGGCTCGGAGCTTTGCCGGAAAAAAGCACCAGTTTAGATGCAGATCTTTCGGAAAATACAGCCTTTTCCCAAAGATCCCTTATTCCTTATTTTAAGAGGAATAAGGGATCTTTCGGAAAAGGCTTTATTTTCCTAAAGATCCGCGTCTAGACTGGCGCTTTTTTCCAGCAAAGCTCCAAGCCGGAAAAAAGCAGCAGCCATTTTTATGCAAATGAAGTGGAGGGGATTTAAATCCCTGCTTCATTTGCAATTGTGATATGTCTAATTTGTATCCCTTTTATGGAAAAGGGATGCAGTCTAGACACAGCATAAGAGAAATACCATATCAGGAATTTGGACCCAGTGGGTTTCAATTTGCTCCTCAACATGGTCAACAGCTCCAGTTTTGTAAAGCTCAAAACGAAGTTCCCCAAATCATGTAAATTCAAGAGCCTTGATCTGGGCCCCATCTACACTGAAGGGGAAATCCTGGCCTCACCGAGGTCAATGGCAAAACATCCATCAACTTCAGTGGAGCCAACATTTTACCCTGGGTCTTTAACCAAACTGAGGAACCTTATTCAACACTGTCCTCACTGAGCAATCAAACAATGGGCCTGATCCTATTCCTACTGATGTCAGTGATAAAACTTACTGACTTCAGTATCCAGGCCCTGCATTGGAACTCAGTGCGTAAGCCAAACGGAAACAAGGATTCTCAAACTATGTTAGACGCTGATTGGAGAAGAGATTTAGAAATCTCTAACAGCCACAGCCAAGGAAAAGTATTTATTCAGTTTAACTTCATTTTGACAGCTTGAGCAATTAAACCTAATACAACTGAGTTTTCTGATAGATACTAAGGATTCTTACAATCAAAAAAACATTATGAGTGTTTGGCTCATTGAATTAAATGGAACTAATCATGTGAATATGGAAATAGGATCAGACCTTTTTTTAAAAAAAGAGAGAGAGCACATCCATGCAACAAAAACAATAAGAGGGCAGATTTCCAAATTATAGATGGGCTCTTCTAGAAAATCAGAAGTCTGGAAATCTAGATGCCTAGCAACTATCCACCACCACATCCACCCCTTTCCTTATACCTAGGATTTTTGGAGGTTGGCTGCTCTAAAATGAAATCTGAGAAGTTATCCCAGTTATCCGTGGAAGAGAGAGAAAATACAATGGCATCTGTTCATTGTTAAGAGTCCATGTCTTAAAGGCCCAAAAGCAGAATGAATTTGACATTGGGGCTGTGGTTTATTTTATTCTTCTGATCGTACTACTATATGCAGCAATATACAACACCATAGAGCTCCCCAAAACCTGATTATTGGTACTAAATAATTCTCCTTGCTCAAATAGTCTGGTTTTCATGTGATGAGCTGTCAGGAATTACACAGAAATGTACTTGGTAAAGAGGTTCTTTCCCCCAAAACCCTTTTTTTTTTTTTTTTTTTTAAAAACAGGTAGATGGAATGTTAGAAGGATGGATCTGGAAGATGGTAGCAGCCCTGAAATCTCAGCATAAACAAACAAATGTGATTATTGCAGACTGGCTTTCACTTGCTCACCAGCATTACCCTATAGCAGCACAGAACACACGCAATATAGGCCAAGAGATAGCAAGTTTTCTGGAATGGCTGGAGGTAAGAGCCGCAAACCAAATGTGTTTCTTTGAGCAAGAGCTATTTTCTCCTTTTGATTATGTTTTCACTGCACTTCGATGTTATGATGCTGGTTAATGTGATCTGCTTCACTCACTAATGGTCTTTCATTGAATTGCACAAACAAATTTCTTCCATAAACTTTAAGATGACTTCATAAAAATTTTATTGTGCAAGAGAGAGACAGCAAGTGGCCTTCTGTTTATTAAAACACTTTGATATTACTTTAGAGATGTTATCATTTCATGCTACTGTAATTTTCTTTGTTCTGTTTGCACTTCTGCAGGCAGCTGTTCGTCTGAGTTACAGAATTGTATTGGCTAATAGAGCTCAAGTTCAAACCACTTAAACTGATGGTGGTCAGTGGAAGAAAGTCAGAATGAAAGAACAACACATTTTCACAGGCTGGTTTTGCATGGGCACAACAATTCCAAAAGACCCAGGACTCCTGGCCACTGTTGCTACAGGAGTGCTGATGGTGGTTGGAGTCCTGGGTCCTTTAAATTGCCACTGGAGCACACGCACACAAAGAGAAGCCTAGCCAACCCAGCTGCACTGGCAAAAACCCCAGTGTAGATACAACTATGCAGACAGCTTAGTGCTCCTGTCAGCAGAGGTAATGTCATTTGGAGAGGTGGTGTAATTATACTAACAGAAAACCCCCCTCTGCCAGCATGCACAGCATCTATGCTCAGGATCTCTGCATTGTAACTATGCTGGTAAAGCTACACAGCAACATCATGGTTATATCTACACTGCACTTCCTTCTGTGGGGAAAATTAAGTATGTAAAGCTGACTGAGAAATTTGTAACAAATGCTAATGAAGAGCAACGCAGCTGCCGTGGGTGATGGCCAGATTATGAGTTCTTCACATCCAATTTGGGGGGTGCGCACTATGACACGAAGGGCAGGAAATAACAGGTGTCACCCTTTTATTTTGTGAGATTAGAAGTAACTTTTGCTCTTGTTCAGATTGGGCCCATAGTGGCAGTCATCTGAAGCCATATTTTGATAGCTGGCTAGTGATCTATGTGAGACTTAGGGCAAGTCCTATCAGGGAAATCGGTGACTGTCATACTTGCTAACTGTTTCAGAGACGAACCAAGGATTGAATACAGCATGAGACTGAAGAAGTGATTTTGGGTACATTGCTGTGGCAGTATGAGTGGATTCCCTCATGCTGCATGTTACCTTTCACAGCATTAAATTCCATTGAGAGTGAGATTAAATTCACTTGAAAGGCATTGTTCTTAAAGTAAACATTGCTAATGAAACACAATTGTGTTTAAACTAATGAAGCAACAACAAAAAGTACCCCTGGGCCATTTAGCAATGAGAATTTTCCTTTCCGCCTTCCAGAAATGTCTTTATGCTGTGTGTTTATGGCTGAGAGCCACCTGAATCAAATAGGTCAGAGGTGTATGCGGTTTTTGAAAATACAGAAGAAAGTAAACCTTACAGTCCTTAATCCAGGTGTTTAGGAGCTAGACATGGTTTTTCATTTTAGATTTCCCAGGCATAATCTCTGAGGAACATCTTTTCCTCAAAAGCTGTTACCATTTTCCGCCTCAGTATTTCTCTCTAGTGGAGATTGGGAAAGGTAGCAGAGTAAGATGTAAAGCCCACAGTGGGTATGTCTACACTGCAGAGTTTTTCCGGAAAAATGTCCGTTTTTCCAGAAAAACTACACTTACATGCACACTGTAATTGCGTTCTGAAAGAAGGCAGGGGTTTTTCTGACAGTGGTAAACCCGTTTCTATGAGGGAGAAGCCTTTTTCTGAAAGAGCTATTTTGGAAAAAGGCGTGTGTAGAGGGGGAGGGGCGGGGTGGTTTCAAAAGAAGATGCTTCCAGGAAAAATGCACAGGTACCCTGATGGCCACTCCAGCCATAATTATTACAACTTAAATGTGAGATAGTGACCAATCAGTGTGGACGCTATCTTTCGAAAAAGCAGATTGCTTTTTGATGCTCTTTTGCTGTGTAGATCAGTGGTCCCCAACGCGGTGCCCGCGGGCGCCATGGCGCCCGCCGGGGCATTTGTATGCGCCTGCGAAAAATGCACAGGTACCCTGATGGCCACTCCAGCCATAATTATTACAACTTAAATGTGAGATAGTGACCAATCAGTGTGGACGCTATCTTTCGAAAAAGCAGATTGCTTTTTGATGCTCTTTTGCTGTGTAGATCAGTGGTCCCCAACGCGGTGCCCGCGGGCGCCATGGCGCCCGCCGGGGCATTTGTATGCGCCTGCTGACAACCTGGGCTGGCCCCGCCCCCCGGTGCGCTGCGCACTGGAGGTGCCGGCCCCAGGCGCGCGACACTCACCGGCGCCTGGTGCGCGGCGCTCGGGCGGTCCCAGCCCTGGGGCACATGCGG